GAGTTTGCACTACACTTACAAATTATAAGAATTTGAGTTTGAAATTTTGATAATACATGCTTATAATCAATCTATACAATATTACACTTACAATTAAAATTTAAATAATATAATAATTTGTTTTATAATGATATATTAACTTTAAATTTTTAGTTTTCACTATGCACACAAATTACAAGATATCTGAGTTGAAATTTTGCCAAAAGCCCTAAATATCTGATTTACCAATTTTTTAATTAATGACCTGATTTATCAAAAAAAATAAATTAGTGATATTGTTAATTCCTAATTAAATTTAATTGGACTTATTGTATCATCCCACCTAAACTGGTGTTCTAATACTACTAATGTTAAATAAGATCACTCGTTACTGAAATGTTCGGGTTGCATCTTCGGCAAGTCTCGCCTTTCGAAGTGTTTTACTGTTGATTGGGTAAATTCTTTCTAGGTCCCCCCTTTCTATAAGTGTGGCAATCATGTTATTTTATCCGTAACTTTTTTTAAGAATAGCGCACACAATATCTCCATATGAGGAAAATGTCTATTTAGATGTTAAATGCACAAGTAACATGCACGCAATGTTTAGAGTGTAAATTAATAAAAAGAGCAATACTTAATGCCATTTGGAAAGTCACCATTTGAATTTTGAAATAGAGGAATTTTTTTTAATTTTTTGCTATTCAATGCTTTCAATTAGACATCACATGCGTGTTACATGGTGATTAACACCTAAATAGGCATTTTTTTTCGTAAGGCACAATTTTAAGAAATAGTGTGTGATCTTTGAGTGTGTTGTGCAAGTTTGCTTATTGATGTATGTGAAAGAAAAGTTTATTAATTTTGCTTATTGAAGTATGTGAAAGAAAAGTTTCTTAGTCATGTTTTTGCTCTCTTTTTTGGTGAATTAGTCGAAGAAGCATACTTGATGCTACTTGCTTCACCTCGTAGTACGACTATTTTGCACACGGCTTTTATACCACTGGAGCCTCATCTGTATGCTTAATATGTTGATTATAGAACGACTTTAATGGNCGCCGCGAAGAAAAATAGGTAATTTTTGGGCTCCGAAAAAGCCCACAAAAAGGACCCCAACTTGGCTAAGGATGGATGAGAAGTATAAATAAGTTAAGAGAAGCACGAAATAGGGTCCACACCTTGCAATTATTGAGAGAAAAACTCAAAATTAAAGGGAGATTCACGAGAAGTATTACATCAATGATTCGGGTTCAAATCGAAGATTGGAAGCGGAAGAAGATCTTGGTGCAAGAGTTTAATCTTTCCATCTTTTGTATCATTTAAATCCGGTGATGAATTCAAATTTTGTTATTTATTTCGTTGTTTTACGCATGAGTAGCTAAATTTATTATTAGGGCGAACAATGTAATCTTTTGAAATCCTTAGTTATTTAATTTATGAATTCTGAGTTTTCATTCTTCCATGTGTTGATTTTATTATGTGTGTAATGATTCAAATTACCTGGCCATTAATTTGATGATCTATTGAGTTTCTTAAGACTCGAGAGGTGAGTTCGAAACTTAGAACTTGTAATAAAGTCCGGTAACGAGGTATAACGTGTAGAGATACCTATACTAAGTGCCGCGGTTGTTATGTGAATTCCTAGTGCCTTAACTCATTTAATTAAGGAGAATTTGCATAGAGATATGGAATTGATTTAGCTAAATATGCTCAATGAGAACTCGAGATGAATAAATTGAATACTGTAAGAGAATTCAACTGAACACTACATTAGACTAGAATCTTGAATTGGTAACTAAGGTGATCATTAAATGAAATTGTTTTGCCCTAATACTTCTCGCATATTTGAATTTTTGATTTGTTTGTCTCCAATATTCGTTCATAAATTTTCATTCGTTTTAGGAATCTAGTCATTCTAGACATCCATATTCATCAAAATCTGAATTTTGAGCTTATTTATTTTCATCAAATAGTAGTAGGAGAAATATATTAAGCACTAAAGTTTAGTTCTCGTGGGAACGATGATCCAGACTTTTAGGTCACTATATTACTTGTTCGATATCGTACACTTGCGATATAAAAATAAGCAACAAGTTTTTGGCGCCGTTGCCGGGGATCGAACCCGGGTCACTCACGTGACAGGCAGGAATACTCACCACTACACTAGAAAATTAAGAAAGTCAATTATTTCTTTCTTGTAATAGAAAAGTCAAGAAATATATTGAATTAACTTCACAGTGATGTATTATTTCATCTAGAATCGATCAAAATCATAATGGCATTTTCTTGTACTTAAACTAAAAAAAAATTAGACAAATTCTTGAATATCTTTGAACGATGGTGATGAGAACACCAAGAACTAACAAGAGAATTTGTTTCTCTTTTAGACTTTTAGTCTTGTTTCAAACTTGCTTTTTGGCACTAGGTGTGTTCTTCATTTTATGAACTTTTGAAAACGCTAAAACGATGTGCATGAAACCTTAAACATAATTTGAAAAAATTACAAAGTACGAGGGTCTGAAAATAATTAATGATTCATATCTCATCTAGCTAATCATGCTGTCTCGTATATATGTTGACGCCAAAGGTAGGATAAGTCATTATTGCTTATAAATGTATTTACATTGGCATGTCTTTTAGCGAACATATAAACATTATATCGAGGTTGCACTGCACTTACGAATTACAAGAATTTGAGTTTGATAATACATGCTCATAATCAATCTACACAATATTACACTTACAAATTACAAGAATTTGAGTTTGAAAAATTGATAATACATGCTTATAATCAATCTATACAATTTTAATCAAATTAAAATTAAAATAATATAATCATTTGTATTACAATGAAGTATTAATGTTACATCTTGAGTTTTCACTATGGATACAAATTACAAGAAATTTGATAATCATTTGGTGTTCTATTGGTTGGGTAAATTTCTTCAGGGATCTTAACCTTTTATAATTGTGATAGTCATGGTCTCCAACTTTTGATTTGTGCACCCATATCCCCATATTTTTTAACAATAGTGTGCAAAATATCCCCACGTGACGGAAATGCCTATTTAGATGTTAAATGCACATGTAACATGCACGTGATGTCTAGCTGAAAGAATATAAATTGATATAAAGAACAATACGTTTTTGTCATTTGAATAGTCACCATTTGATTTTTCGAATAAAAGAATTTTGTTTTTTGCAATTCTATGCTTTAAATCAGACGTCACGTGCGTGTAGCGTGCCGATTTAACGTCTTAATTGATATTTTTCAATAGGGGTATACCTCGAGCACAATTTTATAAGATTTGAAATATGAATGCCACAAATGAAATGTGCCTCCTTAACCCCTTGTGATTCAGATATTTTTTCATCGCCTGCTTTTAAATAAAACAAAAATGGAACCTTGAATATAGAAATTTCAATTTAAACGGGAAATTGTCCTAACCCATTCTACAATTTGCCCTAAACTTGGGTTGTTTAAATTCTATAACCATCAATTAATACGCGTAGTATATGACTTTTGAAGGAAAAAAAATACTCTGCACATGCATAACAAGTGGGAAAGTGGTGAGTTTGCCTAATGGAAAAAGATATTATGCACTTCCTCCACGTTAATGTATTTTGTTTTATCACCACATGGGCGCAACACTCTCTTGTATTCTCCTCTATTATTTAGTTCGTATTTTAATTTTGTTAGTAGATTTCGATAAAAGTTGTGATGATAAAAATTATGGATCCCATCAAATAAATTATTATTTTTTAATTAAATTTTTACCATCTATGCTCTTTATACATTATAGTTGTTATTGAGCCTAATTTATTCTTGGAATTTTCGTTATTTCCATAAATGAGTCATACTTTTATTTGGTAAATTTCAAATAGTCACGTTACTTTATTCACTCATCGATTTGATTTTCTAATATTGTGTCTATTCAATGCAGTTAAAGAACAATGATTATATTTGTACAGACGATATTGTACGAATAGGTTGACGATGCATGCGTGTCAACAACTGTACAAAAATTCTGTACATGTGGCAGAATTCATTCAACAAACAATTGACTTTCTTAATATAAAAACAATGCAAAGCCAAGGAATGATTATGCATCTACCCATCTACTCCAATTTGGTCAAGCAATGGTGGGGAAGTGTTTAGATGTTAACATATATAGAGGCACCACAAATATGCCTTCTTATGTCACTTTCACTAACATATTCTAATTTATATCTATGATTTATAAATTACCTCGATACAAAATAAGAAAAGTTTCCCATAAATTATAATTGAATTGAGATGTTAATAAAAATTTATTTTTTGAGCTAAATCAAAATTTATTTATGTAGCTTTGATCGAGAATCAAAGAAAGATTTGCTGTTCTCTGATTCTCGACCATAATCAAATATGATTTTATTTGGTTTTAGTGTGAATCGATTCTCGAATAAAAATTTACATCCCTATTTTGTACCGTCGCATACTTCTGTTATAAGATTTTAGGTCTTATTCTCTTCCAAACTACTCAAACACGAATAAAATATATGGCTTTTAATTACAAAAATTTGAGACTTCATTTTTTGTTTAAAATGAATTTTAGAATAGTATTTTGATGGAAAGAGAAGATAAAAGGGGAAAAGAGGTAGCCCAAGACAGAGCCGGCTGCTCTGTCACAACTACTCTGCCATTTCCCAATAGAGCCTACAGATTATATATATATTCTCCATCTTTGTTATTGTTCTTGTTATAGCTTCTCAACTGATATATTGAAAAATTCTCCTTCTTTGGCTTTTTTTGTTTTCTTTTTACCTTCACTCTTACTCAATTTGAATCTTATCTCTTGTCGTTGCTTATTTGTTGGGTAGATAAAGTTAATAAAGTTTTGATATTTAGTGCATACCCACTAAATCTTTTGGGCATTCATTGTGGTATTGAATTCATGGACATGAAATTTTATTGATTTTGGGGCGCATCTGATAAATTTCTCGTGGAAAGGATTTGATTAAGATTACATAATTTAGAGAGGCAAATGGGTTGTTTTCCTTGTTTTGATTCAAGGGAAGAGGAAAAGCTTAATACCCAAGAAGAGAGAGATGATCACAAGGAAGTCTATCCAAGTATTCCCTCCAATATCTCCAAATTATCATCTGGTTAGTGCTTTTTCTTCCCCAATTTTTATCTAATTTATGGATACTCGTCTTTGATTTTTGTGGTGTGTTTTGTACTTTTTGATCTGATCCAAGTATTGTTTCTTTATGAATTAGTTTGATTTATGAGTCTGATTGATGTTGACCCCTTAATTAAATATATAACAGAAACTGATGAAAGTTTATTCTCCTCTTAGTAATAATGAAATGAAATTCCATATGATTGCTAAATTAGATCTGGTTGCTATGCTGAAATTCTAATTATTTGACATTTTTCACTTGATTAGACCAAGTGGTTAACTTTATTAATAATATAGATTTACAATCTGGTTTAGTGTAAATTTGATTAACTGTATGGGATATCTGGAAGTTAATACTATTCAACCACCTCTTTGCCTTTTTTCATCTGGGACGGAAAAATGGCAAAATTTTTGGCCACTAGAAATGAATGGGAAGATAGAAAGGTTTTGATTCTGCGATTTTAATTCTGCGTTCCACAATTTAGATTCTTTACGCATGCTGGTGGATCTACTAAGCTGGTTTATCATGGTGGAACTTGCAGGTGCTGACAGGCTCAAAACAAGAAGCAATGTTGGGCCGAGGAAGGAACCATTGGGGCCAAAGGATGCACCAGATGTTCCGATTGCTGCACAAACGTTTACTTTCCGTGAGCTTGCTACTGCTACAAATAGTTTTAGGCCAGAGTGTTTTTTGGGGGAAGGAGGATTTGGGCGTGTATTTAAAGGGCAGTTTCCAAATGGTCAGGTAAATTTTTTATTTACTTTTTTTTGATAACTTTCCAATACTTGGATGTGTAATGTTTTGATGTTCTCATGGGTGATTTTCAATTCAAGCAAGGAAACTTCACCCCCCCAACCCCACCCCACCCCACCAAACCAAAATTTAGTTCTTAATTCTTGCAAAGTATTTTAAGTACGTTGACATTATGTTCATTAGTGCATTCCATTTTTTTATGAACTACCATTTAGGCTTTGAAAACTTGTGAAGGAGAAGCAATTAACCGTAGCCGTGAAATGCTAGGTAGCCCTTGGTTATAATTTGGTCCTTTAGGAATGGCAGAGTGTAGTAGTTTAGAAACATAAACAAACACACCCACATTTATTCACTACTGCATCAATTTAGATTTGCATTCCCTGATTATCGAATTTCCTGGGTTTTATGGAGGTTTTTGTTTTGTCAGCTCGTAGCTGTTAAGCAATTGGATAGGAATGGGCTTCAGGGTAATAGAGAATTTTTGGTAGAGGTTCTTATGCTTAGCCTTCTACACCATCCAAACTTGGTGAGTTTGATTGGTTACTGTGCTGATGGGGAGCAGAGGCTTCTTGTCTATGAATACATGCCCTTGGGCTCATTGGAAGATCACCTACATGGTAAGTTTTTCTGCTTCAGATTCTTTTATTTTTGCTTTTCCTTTTATGACTAGTTTCTAAACATGAAATGCAGCATCTGGGGATAATGTTAAAAATTGGAGCAAAGAAGCATCATGCCTCCATTTCATATATACAAATAAAGGACCTGGTCTAGTAACAATTCATCAAAATAAACTCAAAATTCAGAATTCTTCCATCAGGAAAGCAGTTCATTGTGATTCTGATGCTTACAGATTCTAGCAACACTAGAGTTGAATATGAACAGAAGGCACATAATTGAATGAAATTTATGAGTCTGCTTTCCTTGGAATATCCATTCTCTAGTTAATCCCTATTCCAATTATATGGGATTCGTCATTCTTCATGACTCTTTAGAACCATATTTTTGAACTACCAAAAACACCCTAGATATTAAAAAGAAATTGCATGCCCGGATTTATCCTCCCTAGTCCCTCCCGCTCCATTTCTACTCATCACACCTGGGCCACCCCTCCCTCCTATCACTCCGATCCCCAGCCCATCTTCTCTCCCCCTTCCACATCCCCCTTCACCGACCCCATTTTGCAGCCCTCTTCTACTTCCCTCGCAACATTCCAGTCCACTCGCTGCCCTTCACTCCTCCCAAAACCTTTCCCCCATGGACACTGCCAACCCTCTAACTAGACCCCAAGTGCACCAAATAGCAGCAGCTACTGCCTCCCTCCCCCGCACATCATGCTTTCATTAACACGTATAGACAACACATGCATAGTTTCTTTTGGACCTCTCTTATGTTCGTTTTGGATAAATTGGTTTATGATAGTTGTAATCAAGTAGTAATGGAATATTAATTTATATTAAATCTGTTGTGATTTAGGTTTATTGTAAGGGTCATTGTTTACTTATTCAGAAGGTCAATATTTGGTGAGTTTGGTATTTTCATTCATTCCACTGCTCCAATATTGCATACCAAACTCGGGACAAGAATTGACTTGGGAATTAGCGATTTATCACTTCTTTTCTGAACTTTTCTAAACATGGCAATTTGATTCATTTTATTACTTCATTTTCCCTTTTTAAGTCTGTGCTGTTGCCCAAGCCCATTATTGTGTACCAAGCACCACATTAGATTTTCATCAGCACTTAACTTCCTTAACCCAGTCGAAGCAACATATTCGTTGGGAAGATTATATGACAATTCAATGCATAGGAAAAGAAGAGAGGACAAGGAAATATCTTTACTAAGGTGTCCACGATTTACTCCCATTAACATGTAGTTTCTCACGAAAGAGACAACTTTGCCCTGCCTCTTAACTCACAAAAATAGTTATCCAGTTTGGAATATAAGTCAGGCAGTTGATCAAATAATTGAGAAGTACATTGTTGCTTAAAGAAAGAGGTAACAATAATTTTTCCATCCTCCTCTCTGTTTGCCTTTTGCTTCATTAGATGCTTAACATTTGCTTGTCAAAGCCATATTGCAACATAAACGGGCTTGTTAATTATAAAGTATTGAAGTATGAGCAAAAAAAGGTGAAATGGTGAACCGAACATTGCCCACAGAAGACGACACATTATGCTTGCATTTAGTTGTAGATTAAGTAATTTGTAATTTTGTACTTTATACTTTCAAGCAGAGCTTCAACTTTTCTTGCATATTTGTGGCTCACATTATCATGTATTTTTAATCTTTAGTCTGTTAATTCACGTTGACCTGAGTATGGATAATTGCACAGATCTTCCGCCTGATAAAGAATCATTAGATTGGAACACAAGAATGAAGATAGCAGCTGGTGCAGCTAAAGGTCTGGAGTATCTTCATGATAAGGCGAACCCTCCAGTTATTTATAGGGATTTTAAGTCATCCAATATATTACTAGGTGAAGGATATTCTCCAAAACTTTCTGACTTTGGACTTGCAAAGCTAGGTCCTACAGGAGACAAATCACATGTGTCCACAAGAGTTATGGGTACTTATGGTTATTGTGCTCCCGAGTATGCCATGACTGGGCAATTGACAGTGAAATCTGATGTCTACAGTTTTGGGGTTGTCTTCTTAGAACTTATTACTGGACGTAAAGCCATTGACACCACCCAACCACAGGGACAACAAAACCTTGTTGCATGGGTAATTCACTCAATAACTTGTATTTCCATATTAATGTTTTCCATCACAGATTATATGTCTACAGTACAAGCCCTTAAGACTTTGTGCAATACTTTACCATCGGTCCATCTAATGCAGGCACGGCCATTGTTCAATGACCGTAGAAAGTTCCCGAAATTGGCAGATCCGCGACTGCAAGGTAAGTATCCTATGCGAGGTCTTTACCAAGCACTAGCTGTGGCGTCCATGTGTATCCAAGAACAGGCTGCTGGTCGTCCTTTGATTGGGGATGTTGTCACTGCCCTTTCTTACCTGGCAAATCAAGCCTACGATCCTAGTATAACTGCCGGGCCTGGCTATAGATTTTCTGGAGATAAGGATGACAACAGAAACAAAGATGAGCGAGGTGGAAAAATATTGAGGAATGAAGAGGGGGAAGGGTCTGGATACAAATGGGATGTGGAAGGATCTGAGAGGGATGATTCTCCGAGAGAAATTACAAAAGTATTGAACAGGGACTTGGACAGAGAACGAGCTGTTGCAGAGGCTAAAATATGGGGAGAGAATTGGCGGGAAAAACGACGACAAAGTGTCCAAGGAAGTTTTGATGGCAATAATGGGTAGTACCTCATACATATTATTACGCTCCATTTTCCTCCTTGGCTTTGAACTTGCATAGAAGCATCCACCATGCTGAACTCAATTCAGGTACTTGCAGTTGAAACAGTGTCAAAGCTTGAAGGAAGAAACTTGGGGCCTTATTTTCTGTTGTTTTTATAAACTTGATTCCCCCCACCAACCCCCTATTTTGTAAACAGATATGAAGTGGATCGTTAAGAGTGTACATATACATACAGGTAGAGGACTTATTTGAAAATTTTTGGGAGCGCACACATCTGGAGGGATCCTTCTATGGATGCTGTAGAATTCTTCTATAAAACACAACATCCCGTTTGTAGTCATCTCCTGTAACATCAGCTAATTGACATGTTACAACATGGAAACATTTTACATTCCTTGGTTTCTTCTTGAGAATTCATTGACAGTTTCACTTTCGATGTTATAAGCAAACTGATTATGTTTTCTGTTCAAAGTGCTGTCTTTGATTAGCTTATGAGAAAACTTACCCTTGTCTTTATTGGCCTTTGTACAATCCAGCGAGGGCAGTGAATGTTACCATGGAAATGTGGCGGTCAAAAATGGTAGAACTGAAATTTTTTGTTGACGGCTTAAACTCGAATTTGTTAAGAACAAGAATGCACGAGATAATGTTTCAAAGCAGCAGACCACGTGGTGCGACAACACTAGAACAAACAATCTAACCATAAATCTTAGCAAACAAAATGAGAAACTGGCTAAGTCTAGACCATTACTTACAATTAGTCAGAAAATCTCTCATGCTTCCCACAACAATCCATGAATGTAGATATGGAGCTTGATGCAGGAAACTATGATTCTATCCAACAATGAATTACACTGTCAAATTGCATTTGGCAATTGGTACATGGCAATTTCATGTGCTCAATTCAAGTGCAATTGCACGTGAGGCTGAGAGTATTCATTTTTTGGTGAATGATTTTATCGTATGCAACCTACTATGATTCTAGTTATCACGCAACAAAGATGAGTTCATTTTCTCTTTCATCACCTCCTATATAAATAGTCGCCATTGAAATCCCATTTCCATACCGTCACTCACCATTTGCACGAGGTTGTTCTTCTATTATTGCACTGATGCCTATTTTTGACCTTCACCACCCGTGGGTGTTTGCATTTGGTGTCTTAGGTAAAAAAGCCAACAGATTTCACTGGTTTCTCGTCTTCTCCTTAACCCCTTCTAATCAAGTTTTGGAGTGCCTACATAGATATAGTTGGATGATCAAATTAGGAGTTTACTCTAGGTGCTCTACTTTTTAATTATCTCCATATTCATGTTCCAAAATTTTTTGCATGACCAACCTTTCCTTAGTAAGGTTTTTCATATTTAGTTTCGTGCAAAATTTTCTCTAGTGTCTTCTATTTAGATTATCCTAATGACAAGTTTCTTCTTGGGTTCAGGTAACATCGTTTCTGTCTCAGTATACCTTGCCCCATTGTAAGTAGCACGTTTTCTTAATTTCTGCAAAATTGAGAAAAATGAAAAAATAAAATAAAATTATGGAGTAATCAGAAGGCGTGCATTCAATTTGATCGCAGGCCTACATTCATACGAATCTACAGAGAAAAATCAACAATGGGATTCCAATCTCTACCCTATGTAGTAGCACTGTTTGCTGCCATGCTTTGGCTACTGTACTCATTTCTCAAGACAAATGCATTTCTCCTCGTCTCTATTAACTCCTTCGGATGCATTATTGAGGCCATTTACATCTTTATCTACCTTCTTTACGCGTCAAAAAAGGCCAGGGTAAGTAAGTAGGGTGATCTCCAAGTTCAAATACTTAGCATTTGATTCGAAAACTGTAATATGCTTTTCTCAAATGTGTTATGATTTGCAGAGTCACACAGTAAAGCTATTGGCTTCTTTGAATATGGGGCTATTTTCTCTGATATTTCTACTATCACTCTTCTTTTTCAAACAACATCGCGTTGGCGTTGTGGGATGGATTTGTGTCGCGGTTTCTGTCTGTGTTTTTGCAGCACCCCTAAGCATTGTGGTAACTTTACTACAACCTGCCTAGAGACAGACAGATATTTGACTATGTTTGTAGTTGATTTTGAACCATGACAACGTTTGTTTTTATCTAATTTGCAACAGTTTAAAGTTGTTCGCACTCGCAGTGTTGAATTCATGCCATTCGGCTTGTCATTTTTCCTGACAGTGAGTGCCATCACATGGTTTGCATACGGTCTATTTGCGAAGGATGTATGCATTGCTGTGAGTAAATAAAAACACCACTTTATTATCACTAAACTGTATAATTATCGGTTTTAATAATTCGTTTTGTTTTCCGATATGTGTAGGTTCCGAATGTTATCGGGTTCTTTTTGGGGCTGCTTCAGATGTTATTGTATGGACTCTTTAGGAATGCAAAACCAGTTATGGAGGAGAAAATTTTGCCTGAGCATGCTATAAACATCATGAAGTTAGGGATCCCTGAAGTACGTCGAGTTGATCTTCAAAAATGCGCGAGTAAGAATGAAACAACCAAAGACGAGGACAGGAAGGATATTGAAGAAGACGATCACATGGAAACTTGCGTGCCTTGTGAATTAAATGTTGAACCCTGACCCAAGTGAATTTGGATACGTCGATACTTGTTATCCGTGTACCTTGACAAGTTGACATTTGCTGTCTTTTAGACTGTCGTCTCGATACATTTTTGGTCACGTCAGGACATTATACATTGACGTTTCGCCTTTGCTAAGATGTGATGTGTCGCATTATCAAAAATGAGATGAGATCACATTCTTCATCTCCCTCCCTCCATTTATTATAGGATATGTAGTTTAAAATTTAAAACGTAAAGAAAATTATGCATTTTCACCGAGTTCTCAAAAGAAATCAAAGGGTTTTGCTGTTCTTCACCTAAAGTTTAACTGCCAATTTGTATTCATCGATAATTAATTCCATGTGAGTAAGACTGACGTGCGATTTTAAACCTTGTTGGTGCATGATTTGTAACTTCTCACACTATTTCTACTGTAGGAAAATTTGCGATTGCAACCCCCACACTTTCAGAATAAAGCACTTGGGTCCTTAATCAGTGTTTTCTGGCTTTTAACTTGAACTTTCATCCTGGCCCATGTTGACCTCTCCACTAAATAAAAATTGTTGATTTCTTAAAAAATATTCGCTTTGAGCGTGGTGACTTCTTTAAAGGTATTATCATCCAACTATTACTCTGGGCACATTTTCCTTTAACGACTAGTGTTTAGCTCATGCGATATATTGTTATTTATCATCATGATGATAGAATATCGATGATGTGACAGTCTATGTGAAATAATGTGGTTAAACAGTTCAATTTTTACAAAAGAGGGAGAGAAGAGAGAGAAATGTGAAGGATTATGTATTGTCACATTACCGATATTTCATAAATAGCTTTACTCAAAATTTAATGAAAGGCGGTGTAAAAAAGTTGAGAAAATTTATAGATTTCATAAAATATATGGTTAAAATTAATTATTGACTTTTACTTAAATTTTTATCAACTTTTTAAGTTACACCAAGCAGGGGCTTAGTTTCAAATGTAATTTTCTGACTCTCAATTTTTAGTACAAATTTTGAACTGCATGGTTAAAATTAATCGTTGCTTTTGATTTCATTTTTTAAACTACACCAAGCATGGGCTCAATTTCAAATGTCATTTTCTATCTCACAATTTTTAGTAGAAATTTTGAAATGTGTGATTAAAATTAGTTGTTGTCTTTAACTTAAAATTTTATCAACTTTTTAATCTACGTCGAACATGGGCTTAATTTCACATGTCATTTTTTATCTTTCAATTTTTAATAAAAATTGCTTAATTGATAACTATACAGCATTAGAGCACAACATGATAAGCATGAGATCTAAAGCATTTTATGTGTAACACCCCAATTTTCATAAACATTGGAATGCTACCAAAAATTTAATTATCTTTACGTTAAAAGCGGAACAATAAAAAAATATTTAATAAAAATATTGTATAACCATGAATTTAAACTAAACAATTAAAATTGTATTTTTTCGAAATAACATATCTACTATTTAAATAAACAAGTCGTTGAACATAAATGAAATTAATTAATCAATTAAAGATAGAAACTTAATGTTATTCGTTTTTCGAACCCTCTTGGTAGTTCACATCACCATCCCGCCACAATTCCAATTCGAACCAACCAGAAAAATTATTGTAAGGATAAATGTTTAAAAATACTCAATAAGATACGTGCAATTTTCATAAATAATTATATAACAATAAGATAGATACTCCATACCACATTTCTTATGGAGTGTATCGATGACTAAGCGACACACCCATCAGTAGTATCCTAACTTTCCAAAGAATTTCACATTTCATTATAATGAACCTAATATAATTCACATTTCGTTAGGTCGAACCCGAAAGACCACTTGTAATTTATGCATAATTTACTGAATATAAAAATATACGAAAACAAACAACTTACGCATAAGTATCTTACCTTGACTTGATGAGAAGAATTTTTGAAATAAAAATCCAAAATCACACTCTAAATCTTCTAATTTTCTTGGTTTCCTTAAAAGTGAAATATGCCTTCTACCTATGTACATATATATATTAATCTGACTTATTTCCCTATATGTCGTGGCCGTCTAAATTTATGTGGTATAATAGTCTGCCTTCACGGGGTATGTATAAGGTCTAGTACCTAATATAGTAGTTGTATTTCTATGCAGTTAGGAGACGGCTGAAAAGGACACGTATTGGCTAATGCATTTGTATAGGAAGAGATTTCACAGTAATTGAATAAGTTCATGTATTACATAAATAATCATGCATAGACTAAGAGAACTATTGTTACTTCTCGCCTCCGATGCCCAATGAAATGGGGCCACGTAGCACGACACGTAGGTAGATAGTCAACAAGAAAGTCAAAAGAAGATCCAGTAGGTCAAACACACAAAGAAGACAAACATGTCGAGGTCCTCACACAACGTCCGAAGTTCTCCCACTGCATGATGAAGTCCAGGTTGAGGCACTTCTTCAAAGGGAAAGTTGCTTAAAGAAGTTAAGAGAAAGGAGTTGAAGTCCTCCACTTAAGTGAACCATCTCAGATCTCTCCGAGGCTCTCCAACTCATCCAAAGCTCATAAAGCCGACGTTGTCTTTTGTAATAGATTTAAGGATCTACTAGAAGTGAGTGATGTAACACTTGTAATAAAGTTGTCAGTGTGTCGCCTATTGTATAGGGAGACTAACTTCTTATCAATGTATTAATTGTACGAATAGACAGTGACGTAATGCCTCAGTTTGGAAGATGAGGCCACGTGGTTCTGATCCAACAGACACAACATTGATCAATACAGTATAAATAGGTCCTCTTTGTAATTAAAGTGAGGATGGACAAACAGAGATTGGGACAATCACATATATTCAAAATATACACTTGAACTCTAGGAAGAAAACATATGAACATTTTATCTGTTCTTCCACATATTCTTGTCTGTTATTATATAGATTAGTTTGGTTTAAACTCAGTAATCGTTGTTAGTGCGATTGCTTTCGTTCCACCCGTCGGAACTCGAACAATTTTGTCTCTCTCCACAAAGTACCTCCCGCTTCCATTTCCTTATCGCTACTGTCATCATTCCGGTAGGAACTCGCCGGAATCATACTTGACTTGGCGTGAGTAGGCCCGACGTCTGTTGATTCATTTTTTGGGGTCAACACCATATTCGTCTGAAGATGCTCTGATGCTCGTTAACTTCTTAAAGCTGCCACTAGAGACCCTGATCCTGTTGTCTTCCTCGAAAATGAACTGTTGTAAGAATCTAATACTGATCTATTATGATTTAAAACCATTAATGTCATGATTGACACTAATGGATCCATTGTTATGTTAAAACTCCTTTAATTCATGATTAATAATAATGACATTCGATATATAATATAAAAAACAGGTATGCAGAAGCTTTCCCTGTTTCAGCCGAAGTTCTTGATTCTGGATTTTGGGAATGCCAAAGTACGTTCCGTGCATCTTACATAGCGGTATAGAGTTGAGTTTTCTCCTCCTTGTGAAGAATTGGTATATGCTAATCATTCTTTGTGTTTGACATGTGCAGAACGAGAGAGAAGGAAAACACATAACTATTACGGCTTTCTCAAAGATGGTGGGCTTTTCTTTCAAGGTTTGTCTATCTGCATGCATTCTCTAGCTTCTTAATATGTTTAGTGTGGATTTACTAGACTAATTGAGAGTTCAGTTTCAAATTTTGAGAGAAAAATTTGAAGGCTTCACGAAAGTTTAGATTTGCCTCATTAGTTAACCACTCAATGCAGAATTAGATATTTTAAATGAAGATTTGATAACCTCTCTTTGTAGTCAGTAGGTTTACATAAATTATATCCTCACAGGTCTTGAACTCTACCTTTGTGTAACCTAATAGCTATTCTGAGTTATTTATCATTTCTTAATGGAGCCTTGTTCTTGCTCAGGTTGCTGAGATCTCATTAATTGTAACTGAATGATTGATGTTGCTTTATCCAGTTTCTTTAATACTGGGTTTGTTATCACCAAGGAGTTCGGGGTCTGTCTCTTACCTCACCTGCTTCTTCCTTACCTCACAGGTGATAAATCTGCGCTCAATTAGGCAACTCGACAGATACACAATTAATGCTTTGGTTAGGAAAACAAACAGGCTAGTAACTGCTGAGAAGGGTTTCCTCAAGTCGTCGCTGAAATATGGTTTGGCTTCTGTATACTAGAGTATCACATGATTTATATAGATTTGCATACATACAAATGCGCATGCATATTAATACTAACGAGGTTTCTGGACATGATATTTTAATGAATCATAGGTAAATACACATTGTGTTTCTTTTTCTTGCAGAACATCAATTTTTGAGGATAGTTTTGGCTATCTGGATGCTCCGGTTGAAAGAATCGCTGGAGCAGATGTCCCCATGCCTTACGCAGCTAATCTTGAGAGAATGGCTCTTCCCCAGGTTTTAGTTCAACACCCTTATGTTAACTTTTTCTCTACATCTATGATTCTAGATTATACTGATTTCACGAGCTTCCGAGATTTCAAATTGTCTTGTAAAATCATATGATTGATGACCGGAAATTATTAATCCCTACCTTTCTAATTGTCATAATATATTGGTAGGTGGAAGATGTTCGTGCAGCTAAGAGAGCATGTGCCACGGCTGACGGCTCAACCTTTTTGGCGTTACCAGAATTTTAATATAACTCTACTTACTACTTAAGAGTGCGTTTTCTATAGAAATTTTGTTAAGTTGGCTCTATATGGATGTAGGGACTGGTTTCGAAGTCTCGTCTTGTGCTTATAGAATCAACTGTGTAGAAATATTTTTTTCTGCGTTTCTTATTTTTCTTGTTTGCTAAATTTTCTTTGGTTTCATTGGCTGGATTCCTTGACACACTCGTGCTACATGTACATCATTCTTTATATCATACTTTAAAATTTGTTACGTGACAACACATCATTAAACAGTTTTAAAAAATAAACATTTTTCCCTTTAATCATTTTTTAACGACACATCAAATGTCAAAAGTGATGTACACTTACATCTAACATTTTTTTAATGATATTTCTATTTGAAAGATGTGAGATTATACCCCTAGTATTCCTTCAAGATGGTAGCTTGTTTGAGCTTTAAACATATTGAATTGTTGTTTGAGCTCAATGGGTTCTATAGACATGAGATTTCGTCTTGAAATGTTAACTAAAGTAGTTAACTATTTTACATCGTGTAGAAGAAGCTATTAATGGCTCACTTCTTGTAGAATAACTCTATGAGGAAGTTATATTAGGCCAATTTTCTTCAGTAAATTCTAACAAGACAAAAAAAATTTTAAAAATTATCCAAATAGAGTCAAAAGTAGCTTTTTAATTTCAGAAGCAGCTTTTAACTTTTCAAAAGCATTATCAAATGAAGTTACATATCTTGCTAAATTTCATTATATAAATCTTCGTATTTCCTATTTTGAACCATGAAACTAGGAAGGCACTTGGATTACGACTCCTGACTAATGCGAAAGACTTCTTTTGAGAATATTTTAAACGTATATGTTTTTTATTTTTCTTTTATTGCTTTAGGTTCTTTTCGAGATGTTTTCCAAAAAGGTTGTTCCCTGTATATTTTAGAAAAAAATAAATATTGAAAACTTTGCAACATTTTCACACTTTCTAGAAATTGTCAACTTAACCTGTATTACTCGTTTTCTTAGGTACTTTATTATAAAGTCTAATTTGTAAGATGCCTCCACTTACTTACCTTTTCAAAAGGAAAATAAAGAAAGTTTTTTCATGCGAACCAATTCTTAAAGTTGATGGGAAGAATGAGGTATTTGCATAGATTTGGATGAGTCACGTTTGGCTCAAAATCAATAATCAAAATTTTGACCGAATTTAGCCAAAAGTTTCTAGACAGGCATAGCCGTGGAAAGATGAAAAGGGAAACTTTATTATTTATTTATGGGGAATAATAATAGAGATTCTAAAGTTGTGGATTGTAAAAATGTGTGGTTAAAATGAATTGTTGACTTTGACTGAAATTAAAATTTCCACGAAACAGGGCTATATGTTTTGTTTTGTTATTGTTATCGTCTTACACGACATTTGTTTATTCAAACCTTTAAAAAAATTATCGAATTCATGGGATGAATGAAGATTCACGTTCTTGTCCCTTCAAATTCTATAAGGTTGTGTTTGATACACCACATTTTTCATGGAAAATGGAATTAGTTTTCCATTTTTCAAGTTTTCCTTTATTTGATAGGTTTTTTTTTTCTAGGGCCACTTGAGGCCACACGGTCACATTTTCTTGATTTTCCTTGAAATCATTTTCCCACGACTTAGGTGGGAAAATGGTTTTTCAGGTAATTGAAAAAAAATTTAGATACAATGGTTAAAAAAAATTTCACTTTTATTGACAATTTTTATGCAAAACAAAGTCAAACGAATGGTATTCGGTATGGTAAATTTTTTTTGGGCAATTGAAACAAATTCTAGACCCAATGTATAAAAAATTATCATTTTAATGGACAATTTTCATAAAAAAAGAAGTCAAACGGATACCAAACTTTCAACATTTTCCATGTGAAAAATTATACCAATCAAACACAATTAATTAGAATTCCCAGTAAAACAATTTCTGGACAATTTCATTCTCTATAAAATATTTTCTTTCCACTCATTTTTCACCATTGTAATCAATGTAATTTTTTAAAAAAATTAATTTTTTTTTTTACTTTTTTGCAATTGGAACAAATTCTAGACCCAATGGTAGAAAAATTTATCACTTTAATGGACAATTTTCATAAAAAATAAAACCAAACGGACACCAAACTTTCAACATTTTTCAGGTGGAAAATTATACCAATCAAATACAATTAATTACAATTTACAGTAAAATAATTTTTCGGCAATTCAATTTCCTGTAAAACATTTTTTTTCCACCCATTTTTCACATTTGCAATCAAACGGACCCTAATTGCACCTGTCCGATTTTAATTTATTATTAAACGGATGTTTTTCAACTCCAATTGAAATATTTACATTATAATCTGAGTATGCTCTTATGACACAATTCCTTGCTTTAATTTTAAGTTTTCTTTCTATGTTCGGGATTTATGTGGAAATAGCATCAATCATTACGTTGCTTGTTGGAAGGTGATGCATCATCTAAGAATTGTATATGCACCTCGAACCTTTTAAGTACATGAACATGAAAATGTTTGAGCCCCATTTCAGGTTGAAAATGAGTTTTGTAATGGTGAATTTTTGAAAAATGTTTGGTTAAAAAGTAGAACAAAATTTTGAGTTTACGTGTAAAATATTTTATTGTGAGAATATATGGTTAAAAATGAGTTTGAGAAAAAAAAAATTTTTTTTAATAATGAGGATCAAATAGGGGCCAAGTATGTCGTAGTATTATAAATTTATAATAGATTACTAGAGTTTAATACTTCTATAGGAAAGATCCTAAAGACATCTGCAAGGAATAAACTGGATACCAAATTGCTCTGATACCAATTTATTGTAAAAAAAGTAAGAAAAGAATAATATATTTTGTGGAGTAATTTGATTACAAATGCACAAAAACAAGATAATTGGAAGAGGAAGTGAGACTTCGCTAAAATATGAGAAAAGAATATAATAATTTTATATTCACAAATTTGTCTAACTTAATTTAAAATACAATGAAGAGCTGAATATATATGAAGGATGCTTCAAGCCCTAAAGTAGAGTTTCAGATAAAATAGAATGTTCAAACAAAACGCGAAATAGATCTGAACTCGGATAACATCGGCGCTCGACTCCAAACGGGCGACTAGCTAGCGTCACTTGAGCGATAGGCACATTGTTAGCTCGTGGTAGGGGCAGAGCCTGTGTGTCACTAGCATGCCGCATCTTGGGTTGAATTCAGTCCCTTTGACTCCGAATGGTGTTGAGGCACCCGTACTGCTGTCTAAAATTTCAAACTCTCAATTGAGTTTTTAACTAGAATTTGCTAAATAAATTTTGAATAGGATTTCAAAATCCCATTCCAAATAGAATTCTTTTTATGTTGACTTTAATTACAATTCCCAATTATCTTACAAATAGAATTCTGGGTCAAACCTTAATTCCAACAAATTCCACATTACAATGAGAAAACTTCAAATATTCTCCACTAGAAATAAATTCCACTACAAGGAACAAATTTCAACACTCCATAAAAAACACAAATGAAATTCTCCATAAAAATTTCCAACTCGAAAATATTCTAAGTAACAATTTTAAGAACTACCTATGACACCAAAGTTGTTCAAATCACGAGCAATAAAATCAAACGTGATTAATAATCACCAAATAAGACTAAAACAAGCCCTGTAATATTGTCATCACAAAATGCTTTAACAAAAAGATCTTAACTAGAATCAACACCTTCAACCAAATTTAGAGTATATGCAACTAAATCAGTATTTTTATACCTTTGTGGAGGCAAAATATCACAAACAGATCTATTTCTAGCAATTGAATATGATGGTATAGTTGGCAATGATGGCCAAAACGGAATTATCCATAACTTTCGAACTTGACTTAAACGTATTTATCAAAGTAGACCCCAAACAATACTCTGATGGTACTGAACCAAACTCACAATCCACCCGAGTTCCAAATTTATGCTAATTGATCTTCAAAAATTCTATAAAAACTTACAAGACATATAATTGGGACATTTTTCTGTCCCTACAACACAATATGAGCATCTTTACGAACCTTTAGGATTCAAGTTTTAGCAATGAATTTGTACCCTTTTACATAAAATCTTTCTTTAAATCAAGAACATTTTGCACTGCACCAAGTGTTTGACACTTTCACCAACAACTTAATTCTGACCCTTTCAACACCGGCTATACGACAAGATGTATTATTATCGGTCATCACAACACCTTTGGGAACTTCTTCATATATTGTAAACGAATCTCGATTGTGACACATATGAAAAATACTAGCTGTAACAAGAATCCAATCTTTATTGGTTTGGAATCGTCGTCAGAAATAATCTAAAGCTCTCCATCATTGTGAAACGTTTTTGCAATACTGGCTTCACCTGGAGTGTCTAATTGATTTTCCTTCTAATTAGTTCCAGCCTTTTTTCTTTATTTTGAAGCTTATAGAATCCTTAATCAAGCGTCACTTCTTCTGCAATAATTACCAATTTTATTTGTAAAGTTGGACCTTAATTTGCCCCTTACACAATCACCATGAAAAATAAGGTCATCTCCATGAGGTTCAATTCTAACGAGACGTTTCATCTTTTCTTTTAAATATAGAGCATCATAGACATCTTCAATGGTGAGAGTATCATGATTATATCAGACCGTGTCTCTAAAAAATATGTATGAAGAGGACAGTGAACACAACAAAATCAAAATCAAATATTCTTTATCATAGTTAACCTTCAAGGTTTTCAAATCAATGACAATTTCCTTAAAAATGGCGGTGATCTTCAAGACATATACCTTTGGTCATACGGTGAGAATAAATGCTATGCTTTAAGTGTAATGCTTTAATCTCCCCAAACAAGCTTTAGACAAAATAATACCCTTACAAGTAAAATCTCCGAATAAAAAAAGAGAAATGCTATTTATATTTACGATTATTATATATTTATTTCACTCTATGTCTATCCCTATTAAAATATTAAAATATAAAAAAATTATTATTTTTAT